TGCAGCACATCACCGTCTTGAGTGCGTTGGCAAAGGCAAAGCCCGGCCTCTCCTGATCAATACCCTTCATCTGACAAACAGACTCCAACATGATCAGCGTTGGGACACTAATACGTTTGTTCTCGACCATCTGCCGCACTTCGTCATCGTTCATGACTCCGTCCAGAGGAGCATGTGTAATGATATCCACGCCGGCCATCTGTGCCATGCGCGTCGCCTCGAGGTTGACCGCATGCGCAAAGACAACTTTACCTTTGTCATGAGCGGTCCTTACAAGAGCATTGATCGACTCCTGGTCGGGTCCTGGAGTATCAGAAACGAGCTTGATATAGTCTGCTCCTTCAGCCACACGGTCCTCCACAAATTTCTTGGCTTCTTCTGGGTTGGAGATCACCGCCTCTTTTGGCATTCCCGGCATGTGGGTATGAGAACTTCCAGGTCCAATGGCCGGGAGCCCACATCCTTTGATGTCAGTAAGACCCTTCTGGCCACGGAGCGACTTGAGAAGCTCATCGGGCCAGGTAGCCATATCAAATGCAGTGGTAACGCCGTATTGGGTCATCCGAACGAGCTCGTCAGTCCCTGTCAAGTGAATATGACAGTCTATGAGGCCGGGTAATAAGACTCCTCCTTTCGCATCCACGGTCTCGGCAGGAACCATGTCGGAACTACCAATGAGCTCGCCTTTGACACAAACAGTGCTCGGTTCACAGATCTTCTCTCCATCGTACGTTGGTGATACCAACACAAGAGTCCATCTTCATAGTAACACTAGGTTGCGATAATGACCCCAGCTCCTAGATCAAAGCAAAATAAAGCCAAATTCAATACGTTGAACAATAATCAAAATCGACATCAAAATATCGCATTAAAGCACGTACCATTACTGACTATAATAGAATCGCGGATGAGATCATAAAGGCAGCGAACGCGGTTAGGTGGCGCCTGAGTGGCCGAAGGTCCCTCCTGGGGGCGAATTGTGGCGTCTGACAGGCCCTGGGTTGGTAAGGGGAAAAGGCCAGCAGTATACGGGATCGCGGTTGAGAAGAATGCTCGCTGATGTCACTCCAGCGGCCTGTTACTGGAACAATGAAGCGAGGGCAGGTGACTCGTCCACCTCGGGCACGCGAA